AATAATGTAAATAAAAGATCTCCCAACTAGAAAAGAGAATTCAACCTTAAAAAAATTTATTACTACAGTCTTCCAAAAGTAAACTAAACATCGAAGCCTTTATTTATCCTTCACATAATAGCAATTTTGCAATCTACATTTTAATCCTTGCTCTCTTCTAAGGATTCGGAAACCATCGCCTCCACCTAATTTTGAGTCTCTGGAAAAAAAAGGTGAATAAAACTTGATCACAACTCAATAAGTGGATAAATTTATACATTAAACAATAGTTTTACAAAAACTAAAATATTTTGACTTGATAAGCAAAATATTAGAATAGTAGAAAACCATCAATGAACTCTCATATTTGATGCAACGTTTTTTAAAATATAGATTCATGCTGTTGGACGCAGAGTCACGCCCACCGCCGCGGAAGCGATATCACCTGAGAGATAGCCCTGACTTTTGTTGTCACAAAAGCACAAATCAGCCTCTATATTCTTGTTTCTCAAAGGAAACGAGAATAGATAGTGAAATTCTTATTTCTCTAAGGAAACAAGAATCGAAAGTGATATATTTCATCAAAGTGAAATATACACTCTTCCTCTCATCAGCTCTAACACCGAATATTGAGGGAACCTACAAGCTATGATAACTCACAGATAAAACAAATACAAACACGAGATTTACGTGGTTCGGCTAACTAGCCTACGTCCACGAGAACAGATAAAACAAATACAAACACGAGATTTACGTGGTTCGGCTAACTAGCCTACGTCCACGAGAGGGGGTTTTCACTATGAGGAGAATACCAAACTTATTACAAGTTTTATCTCAACTCTCTTTTTTCTCTCAAAAGAACTTCAATACAAAACCCACAATTGATTTTTTCCCACACCACCATAACTCCTCCATCCCTTCTCTATTTATAGGAAAAACTAAGGGGGAAAGTCCGAATGGTTGGCGGGCTGGGACGGCGGGAAAAGAGTTCGCGCGCGCGGAGGAAAAATTTCCCGCGGGAAAAATCCCGCGCTCCCGCGCTCGCGTGCGGCGCGGTACAGTGGGCAGCGGCCCACGAAACGCTCCCTTGAGCGCGTGGGCGAAAGGATGGGGCACACCCATCACGTGGGTGTGTCCCCCCCTGCGAAACACAATTCTCCACCTCGTACATCATTTGATAAACCTCAAATTTTGGACGAACACCAGAAGGACCCCACGAACTCTACCAGAGAGATACAGGCCAGAGCTAGGCCAAACCAGCTGCGCCACTATACCGCGGCTGCCTACGTACCCTCTGCCGGGATCAAGCTAACCGTAGTTCTGCTACCATACTCCAACATAGTCTCCACCTCACCTCCATCACCGCCCCGCAGGGCCATGCCCTCTCGGGCAAATCAACACGGGCTGATATGAAGCAAGTCCAAGCAATGCTGGAACTTGCTGCATGTGACCACCTTGGTTAACATGTCTGCGGGATTCTCATTTGTATGCACCTTCATGAGGGAAATATCACCTTCCTCTATGACATCCCGCACAAAATGATATCTGACGTCGATATGCTTGGTACGAGCATGGTGAACTTGATTCTTCGCCAAATGAATCGCACTTTAACTGTCGCACCACAAGTTCACGCTTTTCTGCTCAATCCCCAAATCGTCTAGAAGACCGCACAGCCACAATGCTTCCTTCACTCCCTCCGCCATAGCCATGTACTCGGCCTCTGTTGTAGAAAGTACCCCTGTAGCCTGCAACATCGATCGCCAACTAACTGGAGCTCCATGTATCCTGAATACATAACCAGTAGTAGATCGCCGTCTATCTAGATCGCCCGCATAATCTGAGTCCACAAACCCGTCGATCTGACATGTATCTCCACCAAAACACAGACCCGTATCTGCGGTACCCTTCAAGTACCTCAGAACCGATTTCACCGCTTCCCAGTGTGTCTTTCCCGGATTCGTCATGAATCTGCTGACCACACTAACCGCCTGTGAAATATCAGGGCGTGTACACACCATGGCGTACATCAAACTGCCAACTGCACTAGCATAAGAAACACACTCCATGTGTGCCTTATCTTCCGCTGTAGTGGGAGATTGTTTACCTGAGAGTCTGAAGTGTGGAGCCAATGGAGTCACCACCGACTTTGCACTTTGCATCCCGAACCTCTCGATCACCCGCTCTATGTAGCCCTTCTGACTCAAGAACAATCGCTGATTCGCCCGCTCTCTTCTAATCTTCATACCCAGTATTTTCTTTGCAGCGCCCATGTCCTTCATCTCGAACTCTTTGCTAAGTTGAGATTTTAGCTTATCTATCTCCACCTTGTTCTTCGATGCAATAAGCATGCCATCCACATACAAAAGAAGATAAATATAATCACCTCCACGAAGCTTCCGAATATAAACACAGCAACCGTAATCGCTTTGGGAAAACCCATGCTTCAGCATGAAGGAGTCAAATCGCTTGTACCACTGCCGAGGAGATTGCTTCAATCCATACAGTGACTTCCTCAAGCGACATACATGATTCTCCTTGTCCTCAACCTTGTAACCCTCAGGTTGATGCATATAGATCTCTTCATCCAAGTCTCCGTGCAAGAAGGTCGTCTTGACATCGAGTTGTTCCAGCTCAAGATCACCATGAGCAACAATACTCAATAGCATCCGAATAGAGGTGTGTTTCACTACCGGAGAAAATATCTCATTGTAATCCACACCCTCTCTTTGTGCAAACCCCTTAGCCACTAGCCTCTCCTTGTATCTCGTACCACCGAGCTTTGAAGGATCTTCTTTTCGTTTATACAACCACTTACAATCTATAGCTTTTCTTCCTATGGGTAATGGGACCACCTCCCATGTTTGATTCTTCCGGAGAGATTCCATCTCCTCCTCCATCGCAGCCAACCAACTCTCGCTATCTCTATCCCGAATAGCTTCCTTGAAGGAGATCGGCTCATCTTCCTCTACCGAGAGTGCGTACTCAACCAAATTAACATGCCCATAGTGCTTCAGGGGTTGATCAGCCCCCAACTTATGTACCTGTTTGTATGCTCGCCTTGGCCTATGTAGGCTGTCTAAAAATCACAATGGATAGCTGATCCAAACAAGCCCTGATAATGGAAGTTACAATCAGACGACTTTCTAAATCACTGCATCCGCAACTCTGCAACCGTACAAACACGGCCTCATTTCTGAGAAATAAAAGGTTGGACTTAGTTGGTGAGTTGCTTAGTAGAGAGCTGTGGGCAAATATCCTCTCCTAAAGACACTATGGATGTTGATTCCCGTCAAGCTCCTACAACGATGGTTAACCTTGTGTTGAACGATGGTTAGCCTCGCGTTAGAAGTCTCCAACGCGAAGGTCGAACCTTGTGTTGAACAAGATTGAACGCGAGGGTCGGGACCCATAGAGTATCCCAGCCCCGCGTTTTCATTGAACGAGTCATTTTCCTCGTTATCAAGAACCCATCTAGGGTTTTTCAAAGAACTTGCCAAGGCAAGTTATTTCGGTCGACACTCACCACGACAAGGAGGCCCCTGCGGCGGCGATGTTGACGGCAAGGTTCCCGCATGGACAAGAACACCGCCGGCGTTCTCCGCCGACGACATGTCGGAAGTCGCTCCAGCGACCTTCTGGGAGTTCGAACCCTTCCTCCGAGGCGCCATCAATGCAGTTGATCTGAGGAAATTCCTTCGAACGAGGGAGACGAAGCTCGTCGGAGATCTCGTCGGAATCAAACGAGAGTTCTCGTTCTTGGAAATAGCCGAAAGTCTTGAAAGTCAAGCGACTTTTGATTTGACCATTCAGGTCTATTTATAACAGCCCCCAAGCTGTTGAGACGGCACGGGATTCTAGAAGTGAATCCCAACCATCCTCAAAACGCGAAGCTCACCACCGCGTTCAATCTTCCAAGCGCAAAACTCAGGCTAACGCCACAAAGGCCCGAACCTCGCGTTCTGAGACCCAAACGCGAAGGTCACTTCAGCGTTATAATTCTTCTAAGTGAAGAACCTACATTTGTGTCATCAAACACAACACTTTCTTCCTCAAAGTCATGAGCCCCCCCCAACAGAGTGTTAGTCAAAACCTCTGTATCTCTTCAGCAGAATTTAAATTCTCATCGGGTTAATACTACACCCAAGAATCCACTCATCAATTCTCGTTAATAGAATGATAAGTTTCCAAATCATTGTCAATTTACTAACTCTCCCCAACAGAGTCGTAAATACCCACTTTATCAACTCTTTTTAATAGAGTGATAAAATTCCCCAAATCTTGTTCAAATCACAAGAGTCACAATTCATCGCTCCGATGGTAAAACACTTAGCAGTTCTCCCCAGTGAGACGCTATAGTTTCTTTCCCCACAGTTGTCACGTTAAAATTACACCTCTGACAAAAATCAACTTATCGATTCTCGTCAATAGAACGATAAGTCCTCAAAATTGCCCTGATCGCAATATTCCAATTGTCACGTTAAAATTACACCTCTGACAAAATCAACTTATCGATTATCGTCAATAGAACGATAAGTCCTCAAAATTGCCCTGATCGCAATATTCCAGTTGTCACGTTAAAATTACACCTCTGACAAAATCAACTTATCGATTCTCGCCAACAGAACGATAAGTCTTCAAAATTGCCCAGACCGCAATAACCCCCCTGCCAAGTTGAAACTATACCTCTGGCATTTATGGATTTCTTTCAGTGTTCAAAGCAAGAAATAACACGGGAAGAAATTTATTAGTCAACCCTATTATGGGAATATTCATCCTCAGCAGTTTGAAACTTTCTAGAGTTGTCTTAAACGATAATAAAGAGAGTTCTCTGCATCGGAACTATTGTTGGGATCTATTCTAAGTCAGGAATACATCTCAAGCGTTTCTCATGACTTGTATTTAAAATCAAAACATGATAAATGCAAGAAATAATGAGAGACCAATATCACTTTTATTCAAGAACTAAAAGAAAGTGATACAAAAGCTTTGTTCTTGTCAAAAGAACATTACAGGGGCCAAACTCACTCACGCATTAAATCAAAAGAGATGAGTTGAGCCTTGAGTTCAGCTAGTTCCGCCTCGTGGTTAGCCCGCACTGTAGCTTCAGCCTTTGCTCGGAGTTCATCCTCACTTGGTATGATGACGGCCGCCACTTCCTTCCTGGCGTCTTCTAGGGCTTGAGCTTGTGCATGATACTCTAAAGTACCAGCTGTATTCTGGGTACTAAGGATGTTGACGACGCCTTCTTCGCGGGAGAGTTCAGCTTTCAATCGCAGGACTTCGGCTTCAGCTTCAACTAGTCTGTCCCGAAGCGAATTCATGGAAGCAGTTGAGCGTTCTAGTTCTTCTCGCTTCCGAATGTTACGCTCACGAAGCTCAGCGATCTGGCGTTCTTTTTCAGCTAGGTTCCGTTCTAGGGTTTCCCGGTGTATCACTTCAGCGACCTGAAGACCAGCCAAAGTGGACACAATTTGCGGCTGAAGGTCACTGTGGCCCACGGTCTCAAGGCGTTGTAATTTCTCCTCTAAACGAAGGATAATCTCTGAGCAGCGTCCGGACCATTGAGTTTCGCCCACGCTCCTGACTCCATTTAAGCCTGCTTCCAGAAGAGGTCGAAAGGAATTCAAAGTTCCTTGACCACTCATCAGGGACTCAACCACCGTCTTCGCAAGACTGTTCAGATACACCAAAGAGATTTGAAGGAATTTAGGTGCATTAGCGAGACTAACAACTGCACCCGAAGATACCCCTTCAGCAGCTGAGATTGATGCGGTAAGATGATGACTAGCAGGCGATCCAGGTGCCGAAGCTGCAGAGGCAATTGAAATGTTCAATTGCGAAGGACTTGAGGTCAAAGTCATCAATGCCTTCGCCTGAGATGAACTTGGCCCAGCCTCCGTTGGGGTGAGTGAAATCTTCATCACCGCTTTCGGTGAAGTGGCTGCTACGGAAGAGTCTTGTAAAGTTTGCCCCTGCAAAGGATCTGTTGCCTGCACGATCGCCTGCTCCAGAGGAGAAGTCGTAGCAGTAGTTTCAGGCAACGCTACAGGTAAAACAGCCGCCGTAGGAGAGCTGGATAAAAGTGGCTCTTGTGGAGGAGCCAACACTTGCATAGGTTCTTGCTCTAAAGGAGCAGCTGAAGTAGTAGCAGCAGCAGTCTTGGCAGGAGGCGAACCTGCACGAAAAAATGGTCGGAACGCGGAGAAAGCATGGGGAAGAAGTCAAAACAAACCAAGCTTACCGGTAAGATAAAAAGGAGTATAACCTGATGCTTTGTCAGACGGGACCTTGGGAGCATCATCATCAAAAGTGGTGACGTCATCTAAGGTATCATACTCTTCATCCCCCGCATCATCACCTGACATGTGGCCAGCATCAGCATCCTCATCGCCTCTATCTCCTCCAGCTGCATCACCAGTGGGGGAGTCATCATAATCAACTCGCTCCCCATCATCCTGAGCAGCTGAAGGTTCTGGAAAATCTGCGCCCACAGCTGGTTTATTCATAAGTCCCGTTGTAGGACTAGAAATTAAGTCACCAACTTGTGACATTAATACTGGAGGAGGAGTAGACGGATTCTCTTCGAGACCTTTTAGTTCCAATGCGGGAGACTCAGGAAGGTCCAGCACCGGAGCAGATTCTGCATCGGTGGCCATTAATTCATCTTCTTCATCCTCAGGGGGATGATAAGAAGAAGCTTCGCCCGATAAAGCGGGACCATGAGAACGAAGTCCAGCTCTATGTGGCAAGCCTGCAACAGAAGATTCCTTTTGCTCCTCATCTTCAGCAGCTCTGATGGCCTCAGCCATCAACTTGGATTTTTGTTGGCCTTTAGGGGGAGAATCCACCAGCAGCTTTCGACGAATCTGCTTATCATATTGGCCGGCTTCCTCAGCAGAAAGTTTTCTTTTCCCCGATGCTCTCGTCACAGGAGGATCAGCCACTCGTTGCTCTTCCCCTAGAGCAGGTTCAGCTGTCTGTTCCTCTTCCTGTCCAGCAGGCTGATTCTCAATAAATAGAAATTCGTCAATCCCTCTCAAGCGGGATGTCTTGGACCCCTTTCTCAAAGAATACATGTGCCTAATGTCTTTTAGGCAAGATGTGTTCAGATTGTAATTGGGAGTCTGAGAAGCAGCAAAATACCAATTGCAGAAGCTCATGGAAGTATAAGAGTTGGGTGTTTTGTGGGGAAGCTTGAAGACGGCTCTGGTACAACCTGCCACGGAATAATACCAAGCTCTGGCTCCTTCATATAAATTGCCTACAATTGAGAGTTGAGGACGAGGATTCCCGACGTACAACTGATCATACCCAAATTGACGAGCAAACCTATAGGGTTGATAGGGCTCGACGAAACAGTTGACGCCTTGCCTGTAAATCAGATAACCCGGCCTGATAGAAAGAAGCCAATGGAAAACACCCCCATTCAGCTGAGTGAATCCGTTAAGACCCGCTGCGTCCTGATATTCGGCTCCGTAAATGCCGCCCTCAAAATCAGGGAAACAGCGGAAAATATGGTAGTGGGTGTCTCGTGCCAAAATTTGGCAAATTTTAACCATATACCCTCCTTCCCATTTTGCAGATTCCAGTCGTTGCACAAATGGAGTGAATGAGTCTCCCGGAGGAGAGGCTGCACTCATTAAAGGAGGACAGTGGAGCACGTACCAAGCCACCAGATAGGTGTACGGCAGTGGCACCCTGGGGTTAGGAGTTTTGAAAGTCTTGTGATCCCCAGATTCCACCTCCGTAACGCTAACGAAGTCCGAGGACAGCTCCCGCAGTCCACGCTGCAAACAACTCACCATGGCATGGAGAAGGCTCACAGGTTTCCCATATGCCAAAAGAACAGCAGGGTAAATCACCTCAACAGCGAGGGCATCGACCGGCCTAGTAGGAATGACACAACGCTTGAGCCACAACATCAAGAACCCAGCCAACAGCGCTGTGTCGGAAATTGGAATCAGAGCTTGATAATGGAAACTTTCAAACTCTGTATGAGCCGGGAAAACATCTTCCTTGGCCTCATTGGTATAATGGGAGGTAGCATCATCAATTCGAGCCTGAACCTCCTCTAAAGTACTGGCAGATAATCTGGTCACTTGGCCCACCTTATGGGTCAAGTTTTGGAATAAATATTCCGCCCAAGATACTTGTTTGATGCCGCTTCCTCGGGCCCCCGTCTGCTGCATGCAAATGTGGAAGTGACACATGACTTCCCAAAGGGTGGCATAAATTTCGGGGTTGGTCTTCTTTAAAATCTGGAGTTCCGCAGATCCCGGAACAAATTCTTCGTACGGTAGCTCCCCAAGAAGAAGACCCGAGACTTCATGCATCTCGTGAAGAGCGAAGCCTAATTCCCCCACAGGGGTGAAGAAGGTACAAGTCTCAGGATTATACTTCTCCAATATGGAGAAGAAATGAAAGTGGCTCTGAACAATCCCGAACTTTGTAGCCCGTACAGGAATCTGTAATCCAGTTCGAGCGAGAGGGACTTCTAATTCCTCCAGAACAAACTTGGTCATCCGGGTCCACCACCCTGTCACCGGAGAATGAACCCAGCCAGGAGTTCTAAATCCTTGTGCGGGAAATTCTCCTTTCTTCGCCACAAACCTCTTGGCGAAGGTGTTTGCTGGACTA